ATATATATATATATATCCAGTAATTTGGGTCCAAGTGCTGAAATATCCAGCTTTAAAAGACAATACGTCACATCAGTAAACACCCACAACTATCAGTGAAATACTGTCAATTTTTATATCAAAGAAAATAAAATCAAGGACTTTCAAAGTATTTTAAAAACTATCTCATTGTCTTTGTTTCATGCCTGACAAAAAAAAACATTTACAAGTTTATTGTCTCAATCTTAAAGTGACATGCCTATCCATCGAATACAAAAAAGTCAAAGGAAACACATTTTTTTATTAGAAACCTTGCATAAAACGTGATTTTACCCATTGTCACATAAATGGCATATTTTCTTTCGAACTTGGCTCAGCCAAAGTGCAACAGGAAGTGACATCAAAGGGGATCTTTTTAAGAAAGAGAACTCTCTGGTCTTTATTTATTGAAACAATATTATTTGAACTCTGACTCGTCTTCATCTCTCTCTGAAAGAAACTCACAATAATCTAAAGAAACATCAGATTCTTCTCTACAGTCTGTGTCGTTAGCTATTTTATCAATGCTTTGTTCCATGCAGATATTTCCCTATTACATCGCTTCCTGTTGCTTCACGTGCAAATACATGTATCTCAACAACTGTTCATCTCAGCAGCAGCAAATTATTTTCTGCAATATGCTAATAATGTTATCTTTCCGAACATGCCTTTATATTTATTTTTAAATTTTTATGTCACAGGCACTTTAACTGTGTTGATATATTTATGTTGTTTCTGTAATTTGTTGGAGCGACCCTCAAGTCTTTCCATTAATTTTTCAACACCCAGAGTGTTTTTTTTTTCTATTCAGGGTCATGGGAGTTGCAGGAGTTTGTCCCTGCTGTCACAGTGTGACCCTGGACCAGCCTTTCATCCAACCTGGAGATAAACGAGACAAACAACCCTCCATGCTCACGTTCACGTCCACGGTCAATTAACCTTACATGCATGGTTAGATGGGAGAGTAACCAGAAAAGAAAAAAAATACACTTTTTTTTAAACAGAAACAACCCAGCTAAGATCAGATTGTGAAAACTGGTCACTGGGAAGGGAAAGAAGTACTCAGACTGTGGCAAGCCAGTTTATCACATATTAGTTTGCAAGAAGTTTCACAACCAAAATTGCAGTCATTTAATTTAGTTAAAATAAAAATTTCAGCTATTCAGAAGGTCATTTCTTTTATCCAAATCAGCATTTCAAACATCATTTTTTCAAGGATCATGACATCACTTCTCTAATTCATGTACAGAGCTTTCAGCAAAAGACATCTACCTCTTTATTCTTCTAATCAAGAATGAGCATTGTTTTTTTTTTTATCCAATATAAAATTATATTTCAAAGAAAATGGAATTAGCCTCTCTTATTAAAAATGCCTTAATGGCCTTTATTGCTTATTATTCCAAATATATTCATATTTAAAAAAATACACAAATGAATTTCTCAACAAGAAATGGAGGTATACAATGGTTTTGTGGTTAAGCTATTACCATTTCCCTTCAACCTCTTCCCCCTGTACACTACATTTTGTTCAAGATAGGTGCTAACATTTCCTTTAAACCTCTGCCTGTTTGAATGTGATGTTATTTCTCACTGTTCATGGCAAATTTAAAAAAAAATAACAGTATAAAAAGCTTTGTGATATCTTTTGGTGTTTGTATAACACCATTACTGATCATATGCAGTGCATCAGTTCTGTGTTCCAACAGACTGTGAGCATGTTTCATTTACTGGGGATGGTTTTATTTTAGCCACATGGTGCAGAGACCACAGATCCGATAAAAGCATCACAGTTGTAGGCTTTCTTGAGCAGCAGAGTGTGAAACTAGATCATGTGGGTGGCCTTTGTGGCTTCACAGACAAATCTTCTTTGAGCATCATTTTGACTGGTTTATCATGAAAATATATGCACTTTTGTTTTTGTTTGTGGAACTTTATGACATTTTTTTACACCAGTAAACTCTACATGCACCCAAGATGCACAATCATTTCTTTATCTGCACAGATTTCATGTGATCCTACCTCAGCTGGTACAGCTACTGACAAATGTTATGAACG